CTGGAATGCAGCCAGGTGACATCCTCGCACCCTCCCAGCACAACGGAGCAGGCACTTAGCTAATGCCGCAGCACGTTTGGCATCCCACGTGCTCTGCTTGGGACTCCAAAGCCAAATGCAATCTGTAAAGAATTGTGAGCAGTTTTCTTGCTCTCAGAACAATGCACGCTAAGGTTTCATCAGCTGCAACAGCTTTTTCTTCTGCAAAAGATCAGCTTGGAGAGAGAAGGTGAGGAAAGACAAGATGCAATGATAAAGGCAGAAAACTATGAGAGGTCCACAATTAACCTACATAGAATCATAGAATCCCAGACTGGGTTGGGTGGGAAGGACCTTGGAGCTCATCCAGTCCCACCTCTGCCCTGGGCAGGGACACCTCCCACCAGCCCAGGCTGCTCTGAGTTCCATCCAACCTGGCCTGGAACACTCCCAGGGATGGAGCAGCCACAGCTGCTCTGGACAAGCTGTCCCAGTGTCCCACCATGTGTTCAGACCATGTGTTCCACCTCAATGGGAACCACCAGGAGTTTGCTGATGAGGACAAAATTTCCATCACAATTCCCCAATAAAAACAGAGTATTTACCATAAGTTTCAGCATCAGTTTTAGGTGTGATGAAGAGGCTTCACTCATCCAGCTTTGGGACAGCTGCAGCTGACATTCCCTGTGGCACCACAGAGCCAGCTGGGTTGGATTGGGCCCTGGGAGTTCACCTGGTTCCCCACACCCTCACCCAGTGCTGGGACATGACCAGCTTAGAGCAGACCCCGCTCCAGTATCTCCAGTGATCCCCAGATAACCTGTTCCCATGCTTCATTGCTCTCGTTGTGAAATTTGTTTTCCTCACATCTAATTAGAATTTCTCTTGCTGCAATTTGCACTGTTCTCTCTCTTCCTTTCACTGTGCACCTCCAAGGTGACTCTGGCTCCTCTGTACACCCTCAAAGAGCGGCTGAAGACATCGCTGAGCCTTTGGCATCTGTCTCCAAACTGAGCAAACCACTTCCCTCAAGCTCTCCTAGCACATGCTGCATCCCCTTAACCAGCTTGGTGGGCCCTCACTGGTTCTGATCCAGGATTTCAGTGCCTTTCTTGTGCCAGAGAGCCCAGAGCAGTACACAGAACACCAGACACAGCCTCGCCAGTGCTGAGCTTGCTAATTCCACTCACTGACAGTCCAGAACGGAGAGCTGGACTTGTTCACTGCAGGGGAAAACCACTGACTCATGGTCAACCTGTCCACTGAGAGAACTGTCTCACCCCTCACTCTGCCACTGAATGTTCTCGAGGACAGCAGACAGCAAACTTAGCAGACAGCAAACAGATGTTTGTCCTCTCGTGCTGGAGGGATGGACACTGAGGTTGCATCACAGCACTGTGTCAAGGGAAGATAGCAGCAGATTTCCTCATTCCAGTGTCAAGGAACCGACGTGTTCTGTCAGGCTGCAGCTTCGGAGTTTCAAGACATCCTCACAATTCTTGTTTGCTCAAAACTATTCTGAAGTTTCAAGACATCCACACAATTCTTGTTTGCTCAAAACTATTCAGCTCAGGAGTTCCTTCCGGGTTGTTCTGGGGTTTGTTTCCTAGCGTTGGTAATTGTCCAGCAGATCAGTGGATGCTCTCTGTGCCAGGCCCTTAGCAGAGTGCTGGGCTCCCCACAGCACAGCTGTCCTGACACCCCAGAGCAGAACCACCCAGACCAACCCCAGTGCAAACCACTCTGCCCGTGGGACCTCAGCCCCACAGGAATGTGTGCGGATGTCCATGTTGAGAACATAGGAAAATTTAAAACAAGATCACTAAGGGCATTGAAAAAAAAGATGTAGGCCTCCATCTCAAACCAGACCTTTATTTATCCCAGAACTTGAATTTGATGGTGCTTGTATTTTTCATGCCATCAAGCAATGAGAAATGAACCATTAATCACCTACATTCTTTAAAGACAAGATGATCCACATCCCTCTCGGGATGAGTTAGTGGGGCCCAAGGTCTAATTGATCTTGTTACAGCTTTATCTGTAGGAACCTTCATTCCCTCTGTTTCACTGGAATCAGCACACGTGGCCCCAGCTCCTGCATGGCAGTGGGGACAGAGCGTGATGATCTCCCAGGCCCCCTCCAACCCAGGCCATTCTGTGAGCCTGTGATTCTGTGCTGTGTTTGTTTACAGAATCCCACACGACAAGACACTAATTGTGCTGAAAACAGTGACCAAGGAGATGAGAGGCAGGCAGAGGAATCTCCTCCACCTCTCCAGGAGAGCAGTAACTCATGCACAGTGGCTGTGAGCTCGTCCCTGCCCTGTGCCAGGCAGTGCCATGTGGTGTCTTTGCTCCTTCTCTCACAGTTTCTGAGCTCTGAACTGGTGGAACTCTGAAGGCAGAAGAACACTAGAGGACTGGGGGATCCTCTGGGCTGTGTGAAGGTGCTCAGGTGGAACACAGACCTCTCCAGAGCTCAGATCGTGGCTGTAGTAACCAGCATTGCCACAAGTGGCTCCAAAGTGTCAGAGAATGGGATCTAATCAGCTCCACTGGGATGAATCTTTTGGAACACACCCAGTAGGAATCCTTTTTTCCCTGGGAATTATGTTCACACTGTGAGTCAACATGGCAATAACAGACCAGCAATACGTAACCACCTTCCTGAGTCACTCCTGGGACTCGCTGATGGAGCTGAACAGTTTGTTAGGCAAGGGGCTTAGCCAAGGGACAATACATCTCCTCTCTCAACACAGCCCATGCTGTGACACTTGGTTTGCCCTGTACTTATGACCTTCACATTGCACAGGAGACATTCTATTGACACTACCCATGGGCAACACCTTCTTCTAATTACCTTCTCTGCAGGGCATTTCATCATCAGTGTTCCTGCTCTGTGTATATATCTCTGCTCCCAAGGCCACATGGACACACGCTGCAGCTGAGCCTGCTGGAATACCTGGAGGACAGAGTGCTGGGAAGCAGGTCAGGGACCCATGTCTGCCATGAAGATAACAGGTGTCTTTGTGCTCCTCACCCTGGCAGTTCTTTGCCTGGCACGTGAGTAACCTCTTCGTTTATTCACAGTTCTCGTGCCCAAACACTGCAAGTTTCTCAGTGCTGGGGCAGTGAGCAGAGGTTCCTGCTCTGGGTGGGCAATGTTATGCTTGTGCACTATTTATCAAGCACTGTTGCATCAGCTGTCATTGCAGACCTGAGTGGTGAAATCTTCTCCTTGCTGGTGGTGTGAGTCAGAGCTGGGGCTAAGCAGAACTGTAAAGCCTCAAACTCCAGCAGGTTTTACCTATTGATTTTTTAACTTCCAGCTTGGAGCCGATCAGGTCCTTCTCCTGCCACACCGACCAAGAAGAGAGTTGATTACCCACAGGCCACTTGATATGGCAGTGAATCACCTCTCTATAGTGTTGGCTTGCCAGGTTAGAGAGTTTGAGGGGCAAGTTGCTCTGTGGTAAAATAGGGAGCTGGGGAAAATTTCTTGAGCCTTTATTGGGTAATGATTTTGGGGTTTCTTTTGCTCAAAACTTGCAGTAAATATATCTAATATATCTAAATAAGTACATTTGAAATGACACAGTTCACACCTCTGTATCGAGTTATAGAACAGCATAATAGTATAGAAGCTCAAAAGCAACATGAATATTAAAGAAGGAACACAAAGAAAATTGTTGGGGTCCTCGCAAGGGATGGACTGCAGCACACACCAATATGATGTGTGATAGCCAACTTTATTTAGGGCACCTAACAGTATTTATAGTAAAATGTCTCCCGTCCATGCAGCTCATGCTGATCACACAACTTTGGATTGGCTGCTCAACCTGTCAATGCTGCAGTTCTTACTTATGATAGGTTACAAGTTTAAGCTGCATCCTGCTCTCACATCCTGGGAAACTGGTAACAAGAGCTACACAGTGTCCACGAGAACCTAAACGACAGCACTATTCTCAGCTTGGCTTGTAAACGACTTACCTTATTTATAAGGCAGTAAAACCAAAACTAAACCTAAAACCCCTGGCAGCAGGAGAGAACAAGACCATTATAAGGTGTTGGATTGAAGACACAGGAATGCATGAAGATAGAAACAAGGTCAGCAAGACCTATTTTGTGTGTCTTGTTTTTAATTGCTTAAGCATTCCTTTAACCATTGTTCAAGTTACAGCTCCTCTTCTAGTATTTATAAGGCAGTAAAACCAAAACTAAACCTAAAACCCCTGGCAGCAGGAGAGAACAAGACCATTATAAGGTGTTGGATTGAAGACACAGGAATGCATGAAGATAGAAACAAGGTCAGCAAGACCTATTTTGTGTGTCTTGTTTTTAATTGCTTAAGCATTCCTTTAACCATTGTTCAAGTTACAGCTCCTCTTCTAGCCAGAAAATGTTAGACCCAAATTTAGGAAACCAAAGAATCTGTTTGTAGCTTGAATAGCTGTGCAAAGTTTGCTCTGAAAATCAGCTCAAGGTGCACATGAAAACAGCCTGATTGCGAATAGCTGTGGAAAGTTTGCTCTGAAAATCAGCCCAAGGTGCACATGAAAACAGCCTGATTGAGATGACATGGTTTGATCTTTCAGTGTTTCAGCAGCTGCAGAAACGTAAATAAATGTGACTTTCATTAGAACTCCAGCAAATCTCTTCCTTGGACTGTTGAGTTTGCCTTCTCTGCAAAAGCTGCAGGAATCAACACCTTTTGAGCCACATCTTTTTGCAATCACTCCCATACCCCTACTGGCTGCTCAAAGGTTACTGGAGAAGCAGTAACATCTTTGTGGCTCTGGGGAAGTGTTAGAGGTTAGATCTAACCCCGTTCCAGCATAAGGAGCACTCAGAGCTCTGGTGGCACTGAGGTTTGGCATGGAGCATGATTTCTACTAGTTTCTTTATGCTGAACAACTTTATTGGAGGAGAAGATGCAACATGAAGATTCCTTCCATGAAAGGAAGTTTCACTGGGAAATGTAATGGCTTTAAAAGATCAAAAAAGCCACAAAGACAAGAGCTAGAGCTCCACTGCCGTAACAGGTTTTCTTCCTGCTGCTCCCATCAGCCTCTGCCCATAACTTTTACCCCTTGGAAGCTCCAGGATGCTGATTGCAGGGCAGGAGAAACACAAACACATTCCTAAGGAAAGTAACACTGTGTCAGCAGGATGGAGACCTGCCAGTGGCACTGATTGCTTTCTGGGAGAGGTAATTGCCATTGTTTGGAAGGAGCTCCCTGCAGCCCCACCTGAGGTCAGGGCCCAGGCAGGTGCAACCCTTGTGCCAGGAGCAGCCAGGGAAACACTCTGAGTGGTGTTATGGTCCCAGCTGTATTGAGGTCCCAGTATGCCAAAGGAACATGTGACTTGCTCACAGCCATTTTTTAATGGACTCAGGAATTAACACCCAGTCATGCCCAGCAACCAGTTGATCCTGAGCAGACTGGCCATGGAATACAATATTGACTCCTGGGCCTTCAACCCTGCTGTGGTGAAAAGGGGAACAATAGCTCTGTTCCCTCCTACCACAAAGGCTGCTCTGGCTGCTGCCAGAGGTTTCTGAGGTAAACAATGCAATAAGCTCCACTTGTTGAAGAGGTTCTGACACCTGTGTCCTATGAAACACCTCAGAGCTTTGCCAGTGTTTGCTTTCGAGCAGGTAAGAGATTGGTGCTGCTGTAAGGGTTGGGACTACTGAAATCAGCCTAGGCTGGAACTGCTCACTAACTGGGTTTTATTTCATCTCTTGCCATTCTGTTTCTACTCCAGATGCTGCCAAAGAGAATGAGGTGAGTACTGATCTTTATTTCTAGATCAAAATATAGAGTTTGTAACGACATGAGGTCAGAAATTAAATTAAATGCTGCCAATATATTGAGTCCCTACAGGTGCCCAGTGCCTGTCATGGGCAGCATCACACACAGCTCTGTGATAAGGGACGTTTATTTCTGAGGGCTTAGCCTTGGCTAAGGCTCAGTGACTGTGCTGCTCTAGAGCAGCTGGCAAAGCATGTCCAAAAGTGTCCTACCCTCACTGTTTCTGTAGGTGGGTGGAGGATGTGGGAAAGGTGCACTCAAGGGGAAATGCCTCTGTGTTTGCAGGTGGACTGCAGCGAGTACAGGAGGTTAGAGAGAGGGAGACCCATTTACTGCGAGAGGCTCTACCAACCCTTCTGTGGCTCTGATGGGAAAACGTACAACAACAAGTGTTCTTTCTGCAAAGCAGTGCTGTAAGTACAGTGACATCACTCCTGCAGGAGCCAAGAGCTGGGATTAGCTGTTAGCTGGGATTCCCATCCCACCTAAGTGCTAGATTTGTTTCAGGGTTGTTACTTGTCTGCTCTTTTGCTTTATCTTTACAGACTAATTGCTTCTCCCCTCTGCTCCTTTGCTTATCTTTACAGACTAATTGCTTCTCCCACCAATATGTCCAATTGATCTAAGTAAATGACCCTGATATTTGTGTGAGCAACTTCCTATTCTGACCTTGATATTTGTGTGAGCAACTTCCTATTCTAGCAGAAACTAGAACAGCAAAGGGAAGAGTCAAATAGCAACGCAGGTCTAACAAGGCACCTGGACTTACACCAGGCCATACAAGAATTCAGAAGTGGTACTGAAAATACTTTGCTTTTGATGAATAAAATACAACATTTTTAAAGGAAAGGTTTTACAGATCAGTGCCCTCATGTCTGCCACAAACGTTTGTAGTGTCCTCTCTGCCAGAGAGCTGTTAGCAAAGGGCTTCAGAGAGGCTTGAGAGCATAAAACGAAGGTTTCTGTCTGCAATATCCATGCCCATTTCCTTTGCAGGAGGAGCAGAGGAGCCTTACACATGAGGCAAGCAGGAGTGTGCTGAGGGAGCTCGGCGAGACACGGAGCTGGGAAGAGCTTCACACCGCCTACCCATCCTGTCTGCCCCGCCCTGCCTGCCCTGCCTGCGCCAGCCACAGCCCGAGCTGCTGCTCTTCCCTCTGCTGCTTCACCCTGCCCCAGTGCTGGGACTGGCACTGCTGGGCCCCCTGCCAACCACTTCCTTGGGATCCCCAGGAGCATACCTGTTCCTGCAGCAAGTTGGTTTACAGGAGCCCTTCACTGTATTTGTCTCCAGAGCTAAAGTCCAAATCTCTACCAGTGCCACCTGAGCTGAGTGGACACAAGTCAGTGCAGGAATGGCCTCTCTGTCTTTTGGTCATCAAGTGTTTTCTTTCATCTACCCAGAACTTTAGCAGATACTTTTTTTCAGCTTTCCCAGGCAGTGCTTTGACTCTTCCAGTTTTGTAAAACTTTAAATGCTCAGTCTTCCTTTGTCTTTGTACAATTCTGGTCCATGTATGTTGTTTAGCTACTCAGTCTGCATGTTTATTAAAACATTGACTCCAGCTTGTTGTCCATGGTGAACTTTCTAGAGAATAAGTTTATTGCATCCATTACTAACTAATGAGATAGTCCCCAAGTTACAGAGAACTGTCATGGATGAGGGTCCAGAGGGAAAAAACAAAGCCTGGAAGACAGAAGATGTATTTCACTAGATGGCCTCATGTTACTGGAATTTTCATATAATCTTGCTCTTTTTCTTCCTTCAAATCAAACAAATCAGGCCAAGTGTAAGTCTGTGTAAACATTACAGCAGTGTCTCTGTTAAATCCTGTCCTCTGAATGTGATCATTAATGATTCTCTTCACCTTGGATGAATTGGAAGCTTTCAGGCCTGAAGAAATTTCTGTTCTGCTCTTACATCTTTATTACCTTCAGTGTTTGTGTCTTTTACACCTGAACAGTCAGTCATGGGAACACATTTCCCAGAGTTCAACCTGCTGAATGACTGACTTGCCTGAGCTTATACATGAGGAGCATCTTGGAACTGTTATGGTTCTGTTTATCTGGAAACCAGGGCCCAGCAATTAGGCAGCAGGTATGCAAATGAGCGAGGTAATATCAGAGCTCAGAGGCTCGTGGCTCTGGGTAGTCAACACAAAAAGGTGCTCACAACAGGTCCTCTTGACTGAAAAAGAGAAAAATAAGAAAACAAAGGTGAAATTGAGAGAAAAACAAAGGTCAAATTGAGAAAATACTCTGAGGTTTCATCATGATGTCAGAAAATCCAGCAGACAATTTGTGGATATTTTCTGCCTTCCAACCTGGCTTGTTACTGCCCCAGTAGATATTCACCCTCTGCTTTAGTATGTTGAGATATTTGACTGTTTGTGGACTAAACCCAAGACATGAAGTGTCCTTAGTGTCACATCCTCAAGAGTAATTCAAGGCCCTATAACAACTAGACCCCTGCATCCCCCTCTGGGACTCTAATGTGTTCCTGATCATTTCTGACATGAAATAGTAGATGAAAGCAGCTGAGGAGCAAGACTTTCCCACATGGAGAGCTTTCCCTCAGCTGCTGGGAGCATCCTGTGCTGCCCCATTCAGCTCCTGCCACATACCAGAGCAAAGAAACACTCACAGATTGCTATGAATGACACCTGAGGAAAATGCTGAGGCAGCTGAGCAATCTGGACAGTCAAGTTTGTGTGATGGAGCAACGACATGGAAATATAGGGAAGGAAAAATGTATGTATCTTGAGTGAGCTACAATTCCCAACAATGCACCCTGTGCTGAGAGCATTGGCCAAACGCTCCCTGAGCTCTGTCAGCCTTGGGGCTGTGCCCACTGCCCTGGGAGCTGTTCAGTGCCCAAACACCTCTGGGGGAAGAGCATTTGCCTAATATCCAACCTAACCCTCCCCTGACAGCTCCAGCTGTTCCCTGGGTCCTGTCTCTGGTCCCAGAGAGCAGAGATCAATGCTGCCCCTCACAAGGAAGTTGTGTACTTTTCCTTCTTAACTGGACTTTGAAATTCCAGCAGAGATGGTCACAGGAATCACTAATTCTGAAGCTTTGCCCCTGTTAAGCCTAGATAATGTCAGGTAGAGCAGGAGACCAGAATGCATCAGCCACCAGCAGGACAGCTCTGGTGCCTCACTCCCAGCGACTCCCCAGGGAACTCCTTCATGGGAGGTTCACTGCCCTTCACGGAGCAGCAGGTGACACAAGCCTTGGCTGACCTGGTCAGGCTGTGACCAAGTCCCTGCAGACCTCCCAGTGCAGCCCCCGAGGGCAGAGGAGCTGTTTACCATCCATGCTGCTCAGGTGCCATCTCCTGGGAGAAGCTCAGCACACCTGCGGGTGCCGACCTGCCACCAGTGGGCATTTAGTGCCTCAGTGAGCATTTGTGCCCTCAGTGACCATTCACTGCCCTCAGGGAACATTCACTGCCGTCAGTGACCGTTCACTGCCCTCAGTGTGTATTTAGTGCCCTCAGTGACCATTCACTGCCCTCAGGGAACATTCACTGCCCTCAGTGAGCATTTCTTGCCCTCAGTGAGCATTTAAGACCCTCAGTGATCATTTAGTACCTCCACTGACAATTCACTGCCCTCAGTGTGCGTTTATTACCCTCAGGGAGCATTTGGCGCCCTCAGTGATCATTTAGTGTCCCCAGTGAGCATTTCCTGCCCTCAGTGTTCATTTAGTACCTTCAGTGACCATTCACTGACTTCAGTGAGCATTTAGCGCCCTCACTGTGCTTTTACTGCCCTCAGCGACAGTTTACTGCCCTCAGTGACAGTTCACTGCCCTCCGCGCTCAGCCTTGAGGCGCAGCTGCAGCGCTGCCGCACCCAAGATGGCGGCGGGGCGTTAGGCGCAGGAGGGGGCGGAAGTGGCTGTGCAGATCCCGGAAGTGGCGATGGCAGTCCCGGAAGGGGCTGTGCGTGCGCCGGAAGGGGCGGTGCGTGCGCCGGAAG